GTAGTAGTAGAGGCATCGTGAAAGTGTCGTAGACGTAAAAGCAGGAGACCTCGATCGCCACCACAGCAGTAGTGCTAAAACGACCAGTGAGTCCTTCATGAGGAAACAACATGATCGTATATATTGGTATTAGGATTGAAGATAATGGTAACAACTATGGAGGAAAAGAGACAGTCGGGAGGTGAGGAACCTGCTGGGGACCACCCAGGAGGAGGATGATGATGATGCAAACAAACAAGAGTCGATACAGCACGGAGTGACAGTCAGCCGTGATAGGAACATCTGAACCAGCACTCACATACAACGACACCTCTCAGCTTACCCTATGGCGTGTTAACCCCAGACGATGCGAGTGGCGACATAGAGCTAGAGCCGTTCACACGAGCATCTCTACGTAGACCCGGGATGCTAGGACGGTCAGTCTCCTTCTTATCCTCTGAAATAATGACATCTCATCAACGACTCTCAAACGTATCAAAGCTCACCTTCTAGCTCCACCCACACCTCATCGTCGTTCTTTAGCTGCTCACAAATCTTGCCATTCATTTCCAAATACGTACCGCTCTCAAAACGAACTCCTAAACACATCCTAATGCACACACTTTGCATTCGAGAACTTACCTGAAGGAGTCCCCAGACGAATAGTGGAGCCGCGCTTGCTGTACACCGGGCAGTAACGAGCAATGCCCATATTCGCTGACATACAAAAATACATTCTGGAGAGTTCATGCTTGTCGCCTCGACTCACCCAGCCACCTCACGTGCTGACTACCGGTGCCACAACGAATGACGAAGCTCCTGTCACGAACGTGAACCTGAACTCACCCGACATAGGACAAATCACAGCAGCGAACTAACCAACCAGAAGCCTCATATTTTCTTCCACTTTCGTGGGGGAAGTCGTCCTTGGGCTCTCAGCAGGGGAGGAATCAACCGTGCTTGCAAGGGAACGGTTCAAAGTAGGAGTAGAGGCGATCTGCGGTGCTGCTGACATACTCAATGAGTAGTAGGAGTAGGGGGGAAATCAAACGGTATATTATCTGCTAACCCCAGTTGGGAATACCA